TAGATACCACTTTGACAGTTCATCTGAAGAACTAAAAATATTAAATGTACTGAGTTGGAGAAAAGTATATAAATGAGAATCCCTTTCTTTCCGGGAGGGCATTGTATTTGTTCAGAAACGTTTCTTTGACCAGCTACCAAAACCCATAGGGCCCAAGAATGCATGGAACCACACTGCAAGGGAAAAGGGGAGGATTTTAATGGTGGCACCAAAGAGAGGAAGCAGAACCAGAGGGGAGGTTGGACAAGGATGTGCAAAGCCACCCCACCTTCAGTTTGACTGCCAGACTCACTATGTGTGACCTAATTGTGTGTGCCAGTGTGATGTGGGGCAGGATGTACACAACTGGAACAAACACAGAAGTCAAGGAAAGCCAGGAGTTGAGACACAGGTGCCTCAGGGACTGCAGGGAGGGTGTTGGGTCCTACCGAGCCAGGAGTCCAGTGAGTAGGGGGACTTTATGGCTCCTGACTGCCAATCTACTCCTCTGTACACACATGCTTCGAATGTCTAAAACACCTTCACATGATGAGCTGATTTGTGCCACCTGAGTTAGTGTACAAACACCCACTCACCTGGAGCACCAGCAAGCTCTGAGCTTACAAACAAGACAGAGAAACCTCCAGGGCCAGAAACAAGAGGACGCACAGCAGCAAGTCGCAGGATCACAAGAAAGCAGGATCCCAAGCACCTGGGCATCAGGTAAATCGGCCCACTCCTCCGGCTTCAAGAAGCTTTCTGACCAGAGTCTCTCAGGCTGGGATCCAGGCATCAGTGCTCCTCGGGTGATTCCATTTTGCAGCCAAGGTATTAACCACTGTCGCAGGGCAGGATCCCCAGTCCCTAGGCCCAGGGACTGGTACAGAACAGGGCTGCACAGCCAGAGGTGAGCAGCACGCTATCAAAGAAAGCTTCATCTGATTACAGCCGCTGTCCATCAGTCACGTCAGTCACCACCTGCGCTCCGCCTCCGTCAGATCAGCAAGCAGTGGGTTCTCAGAGGAGTGCGAACCCCGGCATGAGCAGTGCACACGAGAGGTCCGGGTTGCACATTCCCCGTGAGACTAATCCCAGAGCCAGCCCCGACCCTATCCTGGGTCTGTGGAAAAATTGTCTTCCATGAATCCAGGCCCCTACTGCTCTCAAGACATCAAGTCACTATTTGGTTTGAGTTATTTAACCAGATTTTGCCAAAGAAAGAACCATAGTTTTTCCATCTTCTCCAAAAAGTTTTCATAACTCTTTCCACTGCAGGTCGAAATATAGATATGTGTTGCCTGCCCCTCCACGTATTAATGAATAACCAGCCACAAAAGAATTCTTCTAGTCCACCTTGACTTATTCCTAATGACCTCCTGAGCTTTTTCTAAATATTCCCAAGCCGTCTTTTTCCTAATCCACTTAGCAATCTTTCCCAGGGCTAATGTGACATTCGTGGGTCTGAAGAATACAAATGCTTTTCCCATTTGAAAACTAAAGTTCTAGTCTCCTGGTCCTTCTGTTTTATCACAACTCCTCAAAGATTTTGACAGTTGCTCAGCAACTTCATATCCCAATTTGCTCTTCAAAGAAGTTGAGTTTTTGTGTGGACTAAAGTTGGTAGAGAAGATGCAACCTGAGCTTCTTGGGTTTTTGACTAAGTCAGAGAGGTGAGGATGACAAAAATGGCTTGAGCTGAGCCAGGTTAGGTGGCCCAAACCTGCACGCAGCAGGAGCCCAGCCTGGACCGCTGGGCCAGAAGACAGTGCTGGAGACATTGTTCTGCAGGCAGGAAGGAAGATGGAGCAACACCTGTCCGCCGCAGTCCTCTGGCCTCTGCATTTTCATGTGTGACCCTTATAGATGGGGTAGTTTCTAACTCTGAATATCCGAAATCTTACAACACACCCTAAAACACAATAAAGACGGCATGATGTTTATGGGATGAGTAAGTGAATGACTGTGTTGGTCTTCAGATGTATTTAATGTAATAGTCCATCGTGTGTTTATTCTCGCTTGAAAACAAAGACAGCTGTCCGCCACACCTGTGAAGTCATCCATGTGTCCCATTTACAAAGGCAATGCTGGCCACCACGAGCTATTTTTAAAGGTCTCACAAAGCACCAAGTCTGCTCTTGACTACTACTCCCTACTACTGAAATCAGGCTTGGATATTTAGGGAGCTGTTGACAAAAACACGTGGGAAGCTAAATTTAGTGTTGAACGGCAGTATGGAATGGCTTTTATCCCTGGACTGGCCTCCAGAGTCCCACCCCTTTTAAAAATAGCCAATGGCAAATTATATCAGATACAAAACATCCTCCATTTAGATTGAAATGCAAATGTCCCTTGTATCACATTGTCATCATGCTTGAATAAGTTCTTCAGAAATGTATCTAATTACAAAGAATCCATCAGAGAAAAATGGCACAAGGCCTATGCCTGGAGACATGAAATGGCCAAAGAGCTTACCATAGCTGTGGTAAATGGACAGCTAGGGCTCCTGACCAAGTGGCCTCGACCCCAGCCAGAGCTGTCCCTCACCAGTGTGAGCCCTCGGCCTTTATGGCTGGAATCTGTTTGCCTGAATGAAGGCTCCCGGGACAGAGCAGGGCCAGGTCTGACAACACAGGGAGACCTGCAGGCCTTGGGTCAGCCTGTAACACCCACTGAGGCCTGTGCCTCAGACCACAGCGAGGGTAAACACATGTCTGTATGCAACTACAAATGTGTGTGACTTCCGCTCCATCCTTTCTCATTCCGGAAGAGCAGAGGTCTTCCTTTGCCGAGCTCCCCTTTGTTGTAGAAAATGTAGGGGCAGAGGGCAGCCCAGAGGCAGGGTTGCTCTCAGAAATACAGGGAAATTGTAGACACCGGCTAAGAGGATGTGAACAAAGTTCAGCTGTGACCAGGGAGGCCTGACTTCGGATCTCTTCCTCCTGCTGCCGCGTTGTGGACCCTCTGCTCCTCCTTCACCTCTGGTCTCTTATTCTTGCACTGTCACTTGTGTGGACTGATCAAAGGATCCTGGAGTGAAACTTCACTGGCCCATAGCAGCGTCCTGGAGAGGGAAGAAAAGAACTGTAAAGTGTGTGTGTATAATATATGTTATTTGTTACAAACAAAAAAGAGCTGAGTTTTTTTGTAATAAAACCCCTGAACTAAACTGTACTAAATAATTAGAGGTTGAATATCCTTTATCCAAAATGTTTAGGACCAGAAGTGTTTCAGATTTCAGTTTTCTGGGGGTTTTTGTTTTATTTTGTTTTGTTTTTGAGACAGGGTCTTGCTATGTAGTTCAGACTGGCCTTGAACTCACTATGTAGCCCAGGCTGGCCTTGAACTCAAAACAATCCTCCTGCCTCAGCCTCCTGAGTGCTGGGATTACAGGCATGCACCACCACGCCCAGCTTGTTTTCTGTATTTTGGAATATTTGCCTAGACTTTACTGGTTGAACATCTCTAATCCAAAAATCTGAAGTCTTAAATGCTCCATAATCTAAGTATTGTGAGCATCACACTCAAATATTTTCAGATTTTGGAGCATTTCAAACTTTAGATTTTTAGATTACTGATATTCAACATGTAGTAAGTTACTAATAAAAAAACTGCTACATTATTTTTTCATTGCTGCATTTCTCATTGTGAGCAAACTCTGACGGTGCCTCTGGGGACCCCGGTCTGTCCCACAGAGCCTCCCACTCGGGAACACTGTGCAGAACCCCATCACTCAGCCTCCAGCAGGGCACACTCCTCGGGGCTGCTGTGCCCTTAGAGCACACATCCGTTCCTAGAGGTCGCAGCAGCAGAGAAAGCAATGGGACAGAAAGCAAGAAGATTAGTAAGCTTTGTGAATAAAAATGATGAATCAGAATTTGCTGGGCGTGTATGGCCATGTCTCCTAACTTCTAGACCAGGGCTCATGTTTCCCTGCGAGGAGCTGGGTAATAAGCATTTCCAACAGTGAGGTCGCTGTGGAAGCCACTGCCCTCTGCCATGCTGAGCTGGAAGGCACCAGGAGACAGTATGTAAATCGACGAGCAGGAAACTGTATTTATGGGCACCAATATTTGAATGCCTGTCATTTTCAACTGTCATGAAATACGATTCTGCTGTTGACTTCTTTCAAGTGTTTGTCAGTGTAGAAACATTTCTTAGGTCTGAGCCATATAAACACATTGGTGACAGCAGGTGGGTTTTCAGCTCTGGCCTCCTAAGAGGGGTAGCACTAACCAGGACCCCCTTCCCTAGGAGAGAGATGGGATTCTGAACACCAGGGAGCCCTCTCTGGAAAGTGGCTGCAGACACTTGTGTGCCCGGTCTGAGCAGGTCCCGCCGGGCACCTCTGACATCCAGCAGCAAGGCAGGATGAACAGAGCATGGATTCTGAGAAGTGGGGGCTGGATCAGACCTCGGCCATGGCAGAGCAGCCCTGGCCTCCCCACTTCCTCCTCAAGGACGTTATAGGAGGAGATGTTATAATATGTAAATAGCAACTGGTATTCATCAGTGTTTGCTTCTTTCCTCTGAGCTTCAGACTTTCATACCCAAATTCTGAATTTAGTACATTTCCTTAAACCTAACGGGATATCACTTATTTGCGTGGTATTTTGGTTACTGACATCATGTTTACAAGTTAGTGTCCTCACCTGCACGAATAGCTGCCTCCAATGCCATCTCAAGGTGAGAGTCCTCTGCCCAAACACCAGGTAAAAGAGAAGAAGCTGTCACAACTAATGCGTGTGCGGTGTCTGCCCTCAGCGTGTGGAGAGCAGTGTTGAGACGGACACGTGTGTCTTTCTCAGAGCGAGCATCTATGTAATCACAGGGGTGGCAGTGCACTGTGGCATCTGTGGTCACATGACCCTGGTCCTACCAAGTGACCTTATCACATCAGAGCACACAGGAGCTATAAATACACAGCCACTGGGTCCCGATTGAGCAATGATGACAATAGAAATAGCTCACACACCAATTGAGCAATGACAATAGAAATAGCTCACACCAGAAGACCATCTTTCCTCTCCCGAGGAATTGTTCTGAAATCCACTGCTTTGCAATGGACAGAAGCCCAGAGGCAGTCAGAGGAAAACTTCAAATCTTTCAGAAGATGGAGAGAGAGGCTCAGTTCAGAGCAGGGTCCCCAGAGCTCGAGTACCACGCTGCACTGACTGCCGGGGACCTTGCTCACCTTCAACCCCTCATGGACCGGTTCTTCCAAGACCCCAACGTGGTGTTTGAGATCAGCACGGACGAGGTGGAGTGGCGGGTGAAGTCCCCAGCCGCGTTTGGGCTGTCAGGTACCCTGGCTCCTTCAAAGCTCAGTATGCACTTTTCGGGGAGCTGCCAACACGCTCGCACCATAGCTTGGGCTTGTTTGAAGTGCATTTCAGGGGCATCTGTCGGGACAGGACATCCGTGAGTGAAATCTGACCATCCTGGGCTTTAAGGTGTGGATTTTTGGTGATGGTGCATGAGAGATGCATTTGGAAAGGCAAAATGATTGGCAAGAAACGTCCTTCTGATGATGCTAGGCAGGCCTCTGGCCTCTAAAAAGGAGCCAGGATTGGGTGCTGATCTGCCAGCACCTACGCTTGGCAGGGAGGAGGCTGGAGCTGGAGGAGGAAAGTCAGGCCTTGGCACGCAGCTCTAAGCCTTCTATGAATCTGTGAGTGCCACAGCTACGGGGTGGAGGGCGCGTTGCTGGCATCCACAGCAGGAGGACCACAGGTACCAGAAATCAAACTCAGGCCCTTGTGCTTGCCAGGCAGGCACTGCACTGCTGAGCACCCACGTCAGATGGTAGGAACTGAGGATCTGCTGCCAGCATCTCGTGTCCCTGACCTCCCCTGGGGTGGGCAGAATAAACCCAAGACACTGACCCCAGGCTGAGCAGCTCCTGCCATGCCCTGAGCTAACAGGGGCTGTTCGGGCAGGTGTTGGTGCCCCTAGGGGCTGCACCATCTCCCAGGCAAGCCCTGCTGGGCCTCCTCTCCTTCACCTGCCCCAGACAAGAAGCCCCATGATTTGAACACCCCAGCCGTGTTTATTTCTCAATCACATGCCTTCCAGCTCCGAACACACACATGCTCCAGAGTTGCAATGTCAAACAGACTAATTTTAGCCCATCTTCTTCACGTCCAAATCCAAAGTCTGGCTCCTCTTTCCTTGGTCATCTGCCCACCTTATCGCCTGCTACCCCCCCACACACCAGCAAAACAGGAAGTGAAGGCAGCACAACAGGAAGTGAGAGCACACCAAGAACAGAGAGACTCGGAAACAGCAGCCCAGAGAGGTCGTACAGTACTGGCCCAAGGCTTGCTGTGGGCTGGTTCCACCCTGCCCAGTAGGGAGCATGGGCAGAGTGCTCTGCGTGCACCCGGCGCTGTCCCGTGCAGCTCACAGCTGCCATGGAGCAGCTGGTATGCAGGAGGATGCACCCCATGGAGGAGAAGGCTCACACCATGTTCCTCCAGGAAGAACTGGGAGCGGGGCGGGGCTCACATGCAGCTGACTTGGGCCCTCTGACAGACAATGGCCTCCAAAAACTGGTTCTCTGGCCTGCAAGAAGCCAACCTGCCAGGATCTGGGGGCAGGGGCTGGCCCTATGCTGTGGTGAGCCATGTGCCCATCCAGCCCTTCCCATGGGCCTGCAGGAGACTCGGGAATCTGCAAAGCACAAACACAGCTGCTGGAAGAGGGCAGGTGCGGTTGGGAACTTAGCAGGCTGTGGAGAAGGCAGTAAATAGACTTCATTTCTCAGGAAAGTAAGCAGAATGGAATCGCCAAGAGTTGGCCCTGCAGGAATGTGGTCACTGAGCTGGGGATTTAGCTCAGTGGTGCCTCTGCCTGCCTTGCAAGCGCAAGGTCCTGAGTTCGATCCCGGGTACCAAAAAGAAAGGAATGTGGTCACCGTCATCCTAAGGCCCAGCTTCACCAGGAAGGGCAGCCTGAGCCCATGCACCCCGAGCCCAGGCCACCACACTCCACACAAGGACAAAGACCCCCACCTCCCCAGCCACAGGGGCAGTGAGCTCCGGGCGGGGCCTTCGGGACAGGGGCAGGCTGGGATTCTGGCCACTGTCGGGTAGGTAATTAATGGGTGGCCTTTCAAGTCTGCTCAGCATGGGTCCCGGGAAGGAGGTGGCCTCTGAAAGGGTCTCCTCGCCAGCTCGTTAGGGCTCTATATCGATCCTTCCATCATTACCAGAGGCCTGCCTGGCTGCATCTGCCCTTGATGTGTGTTCAGACCACAACCACCCGCCCACGCCCACGGGTGCTCCTGCCGCTAACAACCTTCCACAGGCTTTGTGAAAGCGCCAAACTTTTCAGAGAAGTGAAATGTACAGCACCTGCTCCATTCATCCCTCAAGAAAGAGCAACCCTACACACACACACACACACACACACACACACACACACACACACACACACCCCTAAGAAGCGCAAAGAAATAAGCCAGGTCCGCACTGAATGAGGACGGCTTAACAAAGCAGCCTCCTAACCCGGGCCACCTCCAGGCAGGCTGAACTTCCTCCTAGTCCCTCTCCTGAGCAACCTTGTTGTGCCGTGGGTCACCTGTTTTGTCTGTTTGTGTCTTTTCGTGATACATGGTAAGCTTGGGCCTCAGCCCAAGTTCCACAGCCCACCCTGTGCCCTCGAGCCACCCCCAACCCAAATCTTGGGAAATGTTGGGTTCTGTGCTTAGATTCACCCCGCTGTCCATCCGGTCCTTCAGCTTATGTCTGTAAATCCCACCCCGTCTCCCAGTCGCCCTGTATTTGACAAAACCCCTCACATGCTGAGCCCACACCCCACCTCTCCGGCTCAGCCATCCTTCTCCGACTCCTTCCTCCTCCTGTCTCGTCTCCGGCTCCGCTCACTGTTTCTCTCTGCTGACCACTCTCGGGTGTCCCCTGCATGCCCACCTAAGAGAACGGTTCCCCTCCCCGCCCCGTGGTCCCGCCTGCTCCATTCGCCTCACACCTGCCCACCTCCCCTCGCAGGCCTCTGGACCCTGGAGTATAAGCGCGAGCTCACCTCGCCCCTGCGCGTCGCAGCAGCCCACGGCCATGCGGCCTGCGTGCGAGACCTGCTGCGCCGCGGCGCCAACCCCAACGCCAGCCCGGGGGCCCGCGGGGCCCTGCATGAGGCCTGCCTGGGGGGCCACACGGCCTGCGCCCACCTGCTGCTGCAGCACCGCGCAGACCCGGACCTGCCCAGCGCCGAGGGCCTGGCGCCCCTGCACCTGTGCTGGACCACGGCCTCACTCGGGTAAGGAGGTGACGCCGGGCCTGGGACCCGAGTGGGCGGGGACCCCGACTCCGCCGGCGCCCCGCCCCGCCCCGCCCGCCGCCTTAATGAGCGCTGATTGCGCGCGGGGGGCCCGGCCGGGTAATGAGCGCTCATCACCCGCAGCCGCGCCGCCGGAGAATGCTAAAAGGCCACTGGCGGGGTTGGAGGCTGAAAAATTAGGGCTTTAATGATCATTTTATGCAGAATAATTGTCGCAGTGTGACCTAAATGGCTGGCGCCTCGGGCGGGGCTTCGGCTCGGGAAGCGGGCGGGCCTCGCCTTAGGTCCGTTGCCTCCCTGGCTGCCTCCCTGACCTCGCTTCCAGTCCTGCCTTGGGGTGTAACCGCCGCCTCCTTCCCCTAAGGCTTTGGTTTCGAAAAAGCTCTGGACCGGTGGGCGTCACCCCTGCTGTTCCCTCAGCAACTGCCCGGAGTTGCCCGAGTCTCCTGAGCCCCAGGGCCAGGGCAGGCAGGGCCTTCACCCCAGAGTGGGTCCCCGAGTGGGGACCCGAGGGCACGCAGACCCCCCCACCAGTCTCGAGAAGACTGATGGAAGAAGGGTCTGCGACACTGTTTCAAAGAAGCTTTACCGAGGCGTGAATGGCATAGGGTTACCAGCTGCACCTGGTTGGACCATTTTTCACCAGTCTCTAAAATTTTATGTCCATGGGATGTACTCCGTTCCACCACCTCCTGCCGAGGCTGGAACTCAGAGTCGGCCGCTCTCTAGTGCTGAGCTCCATCCCCAGCCCGATTTACTCTCTTTTGTCTGCTTCTTCTCCCAGTGTAATTATTCTCAGCCTGGGCTGTGCCGTTGTATCCATAGTCTATCCTTTTTATTGCTGAGTAATATTCCATGGTGTGGACATACCATAGTATGCCCACCCAGTTGAACAACATCTGATTCGTTTCCAGTCCAGTCTGGGCCTATTACAGAGAAAACTGCTGTGAACAGTCTAGAACTGTGTATGAGCTATGCTTTTATTTCTTGGGGAAAAATAAATACCTAGCATTGGGATGGCTAGATCATATGACAGATGAAAACGGTAGCTTCTAAGGACCTGCCAAAGTTGTACCATTTTACATTCCCACCAGCCATGCCCCATTGTTCTTCTTGGTTCACATCCCCAGATTTTAATTGTGGACGTCCAACAGGTGTGTAGAAGAGGCTCACTGTAGCTTTGATCTGCATTTCTGTGATGACAGCATCTTTCCTCGAACTCCTTTGTTACCCGTGTATCTTCTTGGAATTGTCTGTTCAGACCTTTTAAAAGTTGGGGTTTTTATTAAATTTTTATATTTCTTTGTATGTTCTAGGTACAAGTTCCTTGTCACCTGTGTGACTAACAACTATTGCCTCCCAACCTCTGGCTTGTATGTTCTTCTCTTAACAGCATCTGTTGAAGAACAGAAGTTGATGGAGTCCAATTTATCAAGTTTTTTCTCTTACAGATTGTGTTGGGTTCTCATATCTACATCCCAAGCTTATAGTTTTAGGTTTTTACATGTAAATCCGTACGGATTCAGCCACCCCAGTCACCAGGGATGGCCCAGAATAACCCTGCCCAGTTTTTTCTGCTGGTTTCCCAGAAAACTGTAAATACACAAAACCACTGCAGTGATTTGTGCTGCCCCAGCAGCAGAGATGTGTCTGATTCTGCAGTGAGGCTATGATAAAGCAGGCACATTCTAGTTAACACATAAAAATAGCCCTTTCTGACCCAAATCTCAAGGGTCCAACTGGCCCTGCTGCCACCAGGACCGGGCTTGTATCAGTTAAGCCCTCCAGGAAACTGCACTCTGCAGCCCTAGATCCGTCAGCCTCTCTTTGGTGTCACAGGCCTTGGGCTAGTCCTCATACACCAAGACTGGGATGTTCCAGGACAAATACTATGGTCCATTTTTAGTTACTTTCTATGATATGGTGTAGGATATGATTGAAGTATTGGGGTTGTTGTTGTTGTTGTTGTTGTCGATGATGCAGATGGATTACAGCAATTCCAGCTGTTTGTCAAAAATCCTTTCCTTTTGTCACACAGTTGCATTTGTCAAAAATCAGCTGACTCTGGGAGACTGAGGCAGGAGGATCACAGCCCAGTCTGGGCAACTTAGTGAGACCTTGTCTCAAAATTTTTTAAACATTTTGAAAAAGACTGGAGATGTAGTTCAGTGTGAATGCTCTAGGTTTACTCTCCAAACTATCACACAGTGCGGGTTTACTTCTGGACTCTTATCAAGTACACATAAGACAAAACAAGGTCTTACTGATTCAACTGGTAAGGACAGAGTGAGCCGCTTTCTTACCTAAACACTGGAAAGAAGAATGGCCAGAGGTCCAGCTCCCCATGATCCTTGTCCACACACCAAGGATGACATCCAAACAAAAGAGGCTGGAGGGTGACAATGGGAGTGGAAGGCCACCCTAGTACTGGGCAGCTAAATCTAGAGTTCCGCTGAGCAGTTCATGGCCCGCAGCTATCTTGAGGGGGGTGAGGCAGGAAGCCCCATGGTAACAGGAAGCTGTCAGGGAGGCGAGTGGGCAGTGGCTTTGTGGTGGTGCCTACATTCAGGAGGAAACAGGGAGCTCAGCCAAGGCCCAGGTCCCCAGGGCTCACAGCTGTGCTGGGTGGCCTCCGTGGATGCATGCACGGTGGCAGAGTGCCATGGAAGAGCCATCCCCCATGAGTGTTTCCACACCAACACCATGCTGTCTTGGATTCTCTATAACAAATCTGAGGTCAGGCGGTGTAAGCACTCAAGCATTGTTCTTATTTTCAGAGTTGTTTTGGCTATTCCAGCTCATGTGCATTTCCGTATGCATTTTAGATTCACTAGGTCAGTTTCTATAAAACAGCTTACTGCATTTTGGGGTTGCCATGAATCTATAAATCAATTTGAAGAGAACTGACATTGTAAAAATACTGAGACTTGAGCCAGGCATGGTGGTGCATGCTTGTAATCCCAGCACTTGGGAGACGGAGGCAGGAGGATCGCCACAAGTTCAAGGCCAGCCTGGGCTACATAGCAAGACCTTGTCTCAAAAAACAAAAAACTGAGACTTCCAACCCATGAATATATTATACTAGTCCATTTATTCAGCTCCTCTTTCATTTCTCTGTTATTTTCTATAGTTTTTGGTGCTCAGAGTTTACATATATTTTGTAAGATCTATCTCTAATGGTTTTATGTTTATGCTGTTATAAATAGTACTGTTTACATTTCAATTTCTGATGCTGTGTACTATATAAAATTGATACTTATTGCGTATTAATCTTGTATCCTGAAACCTTGCAAACTCACGAATTATTCCAGTAGCTTTTCATAAAAGCAATAGGATTTCTATGTAGGCAATCAGAGCTTCTGAAAATAAAACCAGTCCTACTTCTGCTGCAATCTGGATATGCCCCTTTTCACTTTCTCTTGCCTTGCTGCACTGACTACAACCTCCAGTGTCACACTGAACAGAAGTCCTCAGAGCAGACAGTTGTCCTTGTCCCTGACCTTGGAGGAAACCATTGAGTCTTTCACCATTAAGTATGAAATAAGATGTAGCAGTTTTGTAGAGTCCCTTTCTCAAAGACAGAGAGCTTCTTTATATTCCTACTTTGTTGACAGGTGTATTATGAACAGATATTTAATTCTCTTAAATGCTTTTTCTACATATATGGAGATGATCATATGATGTGTTTGTGGGGTGTTTTAATAGAATGGCTTACACCGACTGATTTTAAAAATGTTAAACAAACTTTGCATTCCTGGGATAAATGAGACTTAGTCATGAAGTATTATCTTCTTTATATAATGTTGTGTTTGGTTTGCTGTGATTTTTAAATATCTGTATTTATTCTCGTGACATATATTGGTCTATATTTTCTCATGATTTCTTTTTGTCTGGTTTTGCTATCGGAGTAATGCTGGCCTCAATAATGATTTGAAAAATGTTCCCTCCTATTCTATTTTCTAGAAGACCTTAAACTGTTCCTAAATGTTTGGAAGCTGCCTGGGTGTAGAATTTAATTTGTGAGTTGTTTTTAACTACAAATTCTATTTCTTTACTAGATACAGAGATCCTCACATTGTCTCTTTTTGAGTGAGATTTCATAGTCTGTATCTGTATTTATTTCAGCTAAGTTGTTAAATTTATTGTCACAAAGCCAATCGTTGTCCTTTGAATAGCTGTAGAATCTATAATACTGTCACCTCTCTGGTTCATGATATTTGGAACTTGGCCCCCAGTCTTGCTTTTAGTTTTGTGGTTTTCCTCTATTGTTTTTCTGTTTTCTGTTTCACTGATTTCCATTGTGGTCTCTATTATTTTCCTTTCTTTGTTTACATTCAGTTTCATTTTCTCATCTTTTTCTAATTTGTTAATGTGGAAGCCACTGTTACTATATTTGAGGATTTTCATACTTTTGAATATAGGCTTTTAGGGCTAAGCATGTCCCTTGCATGCTACTTTAGCTAAATCCCACAAGTATTCATCTATTGTGGTTTAAAATACTTCTGAATTTCTCTTTTGAATTTTTCTTTCAATCATGCATTAAAGTATGTTGTTTGGTTTCCAGATATTTGGAGATTTTCCAGATACTGTACCTTTTGGACTTCTTTCCAAACATTTTTGAGGTGGCATGGGGTGCTGGGACTGAAACCCAGGGCTCTTGCACTGAGCTCCATCCCTGGCCCTTTTTATTTTTTATTTTGAAACAGGGTCTCACTAAGTCACTAAGTTCCCAAGCTGGGCTGGAACTTGCAGTCCTCCTGCTTCAGTGTCGGCCTTTCAGAGTGGGATTCCAGGTGTGTGCCACCACACCCGGCTCAGACACCCTTTTTTATTTCTAATTTAATCATTATGTTTAGAGAACTTACTTTCTATTGCTTTATTCCTTATAAATTTATTGAGGCATTTTATGATGCAAAATATGTTCTGCCTAGGGAAATGTTCCATATTCAATAGAAAAGAAGGTCTATTCTACAACTGTT